CCCAGTGCCCCCCAAACCCCCACCGCATCCCATTTTCCTAACCCTTTCCTCATGAGCATCCCATAAACCCAGAGGCAGGACGGCTCTCCCGGGCTTACCCTGCGCGGGATGATGCAGGTCCCTGCTGGGGTGGTCCTGCAGACCCCACGGGGGTCCCCCACTGCTCCCAGCTCCATGGCTGGGCCCGGCAGGGCAATGGGACGAGGGAGCTGAAGCAGGGCTCGTTGCTAGAGCTGCCCTAGGAGCAGCCAAACAAACCCTGCCCGGGGGAGGAGTGTCCCTGGGCTGGGTTTCCCTGCGGTGTGGCCCCAGGATAACACCCCCCCCAGTGCACAGGGCTGCGGGGCAGGGGTGCTTGGTGCCCCCCAGAGGGAAGGGCCGGGAGCAGGGGGTGAGGGTTTACCTGAGCCTTGCTGCTGCTGCCAGGCACCGGGAAGAGCTGGGCCCAGGGCTGGGGCTGCTCAGCCCCACCAGCAGCACCTCACAGCTTCTGGCTTTGGGGCCTGTCCTAAAATCCCAAGTCCCGGCACGCTGTGGTCTCCACAGGTCCCGTCCATTGCTGCTGGTGGGATACGGGTCTGCTCCTGCCCCGTGCCCCGCGGCCTTGGTTCCTGTTTCCCGGTCTCTGGGGCTGCATTCCTGAACTGGGGGGTGTTTGGGGATGCTGCACCTGGGCAGCTGATAACAACACAAAGCCGCTTAGGCTGCCATGCGGGGGCTGAGTTCCAACCAGCTCCAACCCCCTGCCACGGGCAGGGACACCTTCCACTGGAGCAGCTTCTCCAACCTGGTCTTGAACACCGCCAGGGATGGGGCAGCCACAGCTTCTCTGGGCACCCTGTGCCAGCGCCTCAGCACCCTCACAGGGAAGAGCTTCTGCCTGAGAGCTCATCTCAGTCTCCCCTCGGGCAGGTTAAAGCCATTCCCCTTGGCCTGTCCCTCCATCCCTTGTCCCAAGCCCCTCTCCAGCTTTCCTGCAGCCCCTTCAGGCACTGGAGCTGCTCTCAGGTCTCCCCTTCAGGAGCCTTCTCTTCCCCAGGCTGCCCCAGCCCAGCTCTCTCAGCCTGGCTCCAGAGCAGAGCTGCTCCAGCCCTCGCAGCAGCTCCGTGCCCTCCTCTGCCCTCGCTCCCGCAGCTCCACGTCCCTCCTGCGCTGTTGCCCGTGGTGGCCGGGCTGGGGTGACCCCAGACCCGCTCCTGCCTCCAGCCCCCCCGTGCGGACGGAGCAGGGGGGAGGAGCCTCCCCCGTTGCCACATCCAGGAGCCGTCGCGCTCTGCCTTGCGGACACGGAGCCCGTCGGCGCCGGGCAGGGACGGGGGCACAGCCAGAGCCTGGGAGCGGCTCAGGGTCCTGCTGCGAGAGGAGGTCCTGGAGGGAGCCAGGAGCAGGGAAGTGGGGTTTGGGGTCCAGGTGTGTCCCCCCCCCGGCGGGGCCATGCAGGAGGAGCTGGGCTGTCCCCAGCCCCTCGGGCACTGAGGCAGGGCACCCGCGGACAGGGGTGGTTCCAGCTATGCGGGGCCCACAGCAGCCCCCCTGCCCCCGCGCACTGCTGGTCCTGCTGCTCGCGTTCCCGATGCCGTGGGTAAGCATCCCGGGGGAGCACGGGATGGGAGCGGGCGGGCGGCACGCACCGGTCCCTGCCTGTGACAGCCTGGGGAGTACGGTCCCGGCCGGGGCTCACGTCCCCATCCCTGTCCCCATCCCTTGTGCTGCGCGACCCGGGGGGGATTCCAGGCTCTGGGAGCTGCCGGCACCGCAGCGCCCCCCCCCGCTGCCTTCACAGCAGCTTTGGGGATCAGTTTGGTGCCCTGCGGCGGGGGGAGAGGGGGTGTGTGATGCTGGGACCTCTCTGTGCTCCCCAGGGCTGGGACCATGCTCGGAGGCCGCCACAAAGCTCCTGTGGGTTCAGCTCCCGGCCGGCTTCGGGACACCCCAGGGTGGCTCCACTCTGCCCTGCCCTGGGGACCGTCCCCTCCATCCTCACATGGGTGCTGGGGCTGTGCTCACACTGACCCCAAACCTCAAGGGCTTGGGAAGCATCCATTGGAGTGAAGGTCGGGATGGGTGTAGGGTGCTGGGGTCAGGACCGTGTGTGGGGCGCTCCCCATCTCCAGGCAGAGCCATAGGGATGGTGACACCGGATGTCTGCTGAAATGGGGGACATGGAGCTGTTGAGCTGCCGCGGGGTGGGGGCTGGAAAACCCACCCGAAGATGTCAAATTGCTTCAGCAGGAAACGCAGGGTGAGGGCTCAAGTGGGAGGGGGGCTCAGGTAGGTGTTCCTCTGCCAAGCCTTCAGGATGTCTCCTTTGTTCCGTAAGTTCTTTAGCCAACATGGTTTGGATCATGGGGAAGAGAAGAAAATTGAAAGAAAGGGAAGGGAAAAATAGGAAAGAAAAAAAAACCTGGAAAAAATGATGGAAATTTTGAAGGGAAGGAAAGAGAAGGAAAAGGAGGGGGGGAGGGAAGGGGGAAAGGAAAAGGGGAAAGAAAAAGGAAAGGGAAAAGGAAAGGGAAGGGAAAAGGAAAGGGAAAGGGAAAAGGAAAGCAAGCAGGGGAATGGGAGCACTTCGAGGATAAGGAGAGGGATGGCATCAGTCCCCTTCCCAGAAGCGGAAACTGAGGCCCCCAAGGAGCTGCCTGCCCTGCAGCAAGCTGTGCCGGTGCCCGCTCTGGTGCTGCAGCAGCCGGGCTGCGTGCCCATAGATAACAAACCCCAGCAGCAGAAGGAGCAGACGTGCCCAAAGAGCTGGGGTTTAAAACCTAAAGACAGGGGGTCCTTGCTCAGGCTTTGGATGAGCTCATCTCTGCCCTGCTGATGGGGCCCCTCTGTCTTTCAGCTCAGCTCCTCTGTGTGGAGCTTGTGTCCTGGCGGAGCATCACACACTTGTGGAGGGAATTAGGAATAATTTAGGTGGTTCCTGGTGGTGTTTGAAAGGCAAATGGTAGAAAGCCAAGGAAATGGCAGGGGCTGAAAGCTCTCCTGGAGCTGACTGCTAAGCAGTGACTCTTGGCTGGTACCCTCCTGCTCAGGCATCCTCTGCCTGCCCTTTCCCCCTTCCCAAGGTGCGAGCAACTCATCCCGACTGCTCCGTGGTCCTCTATTTTCGAGAGCAAGAAGCTGAATGTCTGGAGGTTATCAGGAGTGAGAGGCAAACACCAGCCCCCCCCGGGGAACAAGGTGAGTACGAGCTGCATGGGGCTCATCTCCCATGGGATGAGGGTGAGGATTTGCTATGGGGGACTCTATAAGATGATCCACAGTGGGGGTGGGTTGCAGAGAGGACATGGATGCAGGAAAGCAGGTATATTTAGGGAAATGGGAGAGAAAAGGCTTGTTTTATTTTGCCCTGTCCCCAGAACTTGCCTCCATCACCTCTTTTCCATGGATTCCAGCCCCACAAATCCCTCCAAGCTTGGCCTTTTGCTGGAATGAGAGAAAAATGAATCACACTTGTCTGAGTCCCCATTCCCTGGCTGGGATTAGATGTGGCTTCAGGTTAATGTGCATCTATGAGGTTAATAATGTAGAAGATGTGCAAGGAGGATCGCTGGAAGTGTGGTGTCCATGGCTCATCCTGCTCTGCTGCAGCACTCACACTTCACGGCCCCACGTCTGCTTGGCCATGCTCATTTCCAGGGTGATTGGAGACCCATTGAAAGTTGAACCTGGTGCCGGGGAGAGAAGGCAAACACGTCTGAGCTGAGTGCTCTCCACAAGTCCTGCTTTCTCCTCTTCCCCCTCGGGCTGGAGGCATCCCGAGCTGACCCAGCTGCCGGAATCCAGGATAATTCCGCAGTATTACAGATGCCGCCGGGGAAGCCCAAGCCCTTCCCACCCCCTCATCCCTGGGGTTTTCCCCAGGAGCTCAGGGTCTGCTGCACCCCCAGGAAGCAGCAGCTCCCATCTCGCCGCGGGGCTCAAAGGGGAGGCGGTTCCCAGCAGCTCCTCGTTCCAGAGGGGGACGGCGCAGCCCCGCGGACCGGGTGACCGCGGCTCTCCCGTTACCTCCGTGTGCCCAAGGGGCTCTGCGCGTGTGTGCGTGCCCGGCACGTCCCTTCCCGCTGGCGCTGACCGTCCCGTCCCTCCCAGGCTGCCAGACGGAGTGGGATGGAGTCAGCTGCTGGCCAGCAGCGCCCCGCGGCCAGGCCCGGGCCCTCTCCTGCCCCGGCATCCTCCACGTCTTCAAGAGGACCGAAGGTGCAGTGCCGGGGGCATGCGGGAGGGCTCATCCCCTACCTGCCCTGGGGCCTTGTGCCCCCCCCCGCCCCTTCGCCCTTCCCCTCTGCTCCCTCTGCCCCATCCGAGAGCTTGGCACATACTGCACTGCAAAGGCTGCTGCCGAGGAAAGAGCCCCCAACCCTTCCATCAGCCAGTACCAAGCATCCCAAGTCCCGTCAGCTGCCAGAGGGGAGACTGAGCTGAGCTCTTAGGCAGAAGCTCTTCCCTGTGAGGGTGCTGAGGCGCTGGCACAGGGTGCCCAGAGAAGCTGTGGCTGCCCCATCCCTGGCAGTGTTCAAGGCCAGGTTGGACACAGGGGCTTGGAGCAAGCTGCTCCAGTGGAAGGGGTCCCTGCCCGGGAGCACTCCCAGGGACGGTGACCCCAGCACTGCCCTAGGCAGCCTGTTCCAATGCCTGAGGTGTTCGTGATCTCCGGAGCCATCTGGATATTTGGGATCTGGGTATGGGGATGCTGGCGCTGGGGTTTAGGCTCCATCCCGGAGAGCAGGTGCCATCCCCAGGCTGGATATCTGTGGGTGCTGGTGCAGAGGTGAAGCCCATGCCTCCTGTGAGGTCCCTTCTTGCTGCTGCAGCGCTGATCTGGAGGAACTGCACCAAGTCGGGATGGAGCCTCCCCAGCCCTCCCTACTACAGTGCCTGCGAGCTGGAGCCCATCGGCAACAACACCGAGGCGAAGGCAAGTGGGTACCCAGCAACTGTGGGACATCTCCCCAGCATCCCCTGCCCCACACTGACCCGTGCTGTTGGGCAATGGAATATGAATTTGCCCTCGGGGATATGGAGTTGGCTTCATCCTGGGTGCTGAGCTTCCCGGAGGGGTCTGAGCTGGGCTGGGCAAGGGCTGGGGCGTCCCCCTGCAGCCTCCCTGCCCATTGCAGGGCAGTGACTCCCAGCCCCGCCGGTGCTTTCCCTTCCAGAGGAGCTATTTTGTCACCATGAAGGTGCTTTACACCTGCGGCTACTCCACGTCCCTGGCAGCCCTGCTCCTGGCCATCGGCATCTTCTCCTGCTTCAGGTAGGGCTCCAGAAGTGGCTCCTGAAGGAGCCCATCTGCTCTCCCTGCTCCTCCCCGGGCCCAGCACGTCTCTCCCACAGGAAGCTGCATTGCACCAGGAATTCTATCCACATCCACTTCTTCACCTCCTTCATCCTGCGTGGAGCCGCTGTGTTCGCCAAGGATGCCGTCCTCTTCTCAGACGAGTCCATCGATCACTGCACCATGTCAACGGTAAGGCAGCAAGTCCCAGCCCAGGCACGGTGCAGGGGGGGCCGCAGGGAATGTGCAGGACTGGTGCATCATCCCTGGGGTGCTCTGAAAGGCCATCACAGGTCTCCCCGAGCGGATGGACAGGAGCTGACCATGTCCTGTGCCCCCAGGCAGGGTCTGATGCCAGCCAGCACCCCTGAGCCTTCCTCCTCCTCCTCGTCCTCCCAGGTGAGCTGCAAAGCAGCCATCGCCTTCTTCCAGTACTCGGTCCTGGCCAACTTCTACTGGCTGCTGGTGGAGGGCCTGTACCTGCAGACCCTGCTGCTGCTCGCCTTCACCTCGGACAAGAGGTACATCTGGTGGTACATCCTCATCGGCTGGGGTGAGTGCGGGGCTCCCCAGCACATCAACGCCTCCAGCATCGCCCCTGTGACCCACGCCAGGCACTTCTGGGGGTTGCCTGCTCTGAGACCCATCTGGCCCGAGCTCCACAGGCACCATGGTTCACGTGGCTGCTCTTGGCCCCCACCCCAGCCCCTCTCTGCACAGCCCTGTGCCTCCTGCCAGCCCCTGGGCCGGTTGGGCAGCCTGGCCTGATCCCTGCCCTTGTGGCATGTGTGCAGGATCACTCAAAAGGGAAATGTTTGCTAATGCTCAGCAAAGCCTTTGCAACAGCACCTGATACCAACCCATAGTGAGCATGGTCAGGATGGGGCAGAGACAGCTCCTTCTTTCTTCCTGCATCCATCTGGGGCTGGAATCACCTGTCCCAGGCGTCCACATTAGATGTAAGAGCACATAGAAGGGGAGGAGGGTAACCAGGATGTGACACAGGCACCTCAGCATCAGCGGGATCCTTTTAAAACCTGGAGAAGGGGGAATGTCACCTCCCTGACACCCCTCCGGCGCAGACACGTGGTTCTGGGGCTGGAGGGGAGGTACAGGGGTTCCTCAGAGCCCCGGTGGGATTCCATATCCCTGCCTGGTTCCTGTCCTTGCAGGCGTCCCCATGCTCACAGTCTGCGTATGGGTGGTCACCAGGCTGCAGTACGACAACCATGGGTAAGAGCAGCCGCCCCTCTGTGTTCTGCAGCCACGTGTCCCCCGTGCAAGCCCCAGGGGATGAAGCTCTTGCATGGGAGGCTCCGGAGGGGAGCACGGGTCAGCACTTTGATGCTGCCTCTGTTTTCTGGTGGGGCAAGAGGAGCAGTGCAGACGGGGCCGAGGCAGCAGAGCCCTTTCTCCTCTCCTGCAGGTGCTGGGATGACTACACCAACCCTTACTGGTGGGTGATCAAGGCTCCCATCCTCCTGGCCATATTTGTGAGTGTGGCCCCTGAACACCCCAGACCACAGGGTCCCACATGGACAGGGGCATCCAGCCAGGGTCTGTGCAGAGCCTGAGATGGGCTTCCCATGGCAGGTGAACTTCCTCATCTTCCTCAATGTCACCAGGATGTTAGCGCAGAAGATCCGCTCCCCGGACATCAGCAGGAACTACAAGCAACAGTACATGTACGGGCTGGCTTGGGCAAGGGGACCTTTCCTCTCCTGGTTTCTGGGGTGACCCAGAGCAGCAGGGACCCCTCCCTAGAGGAGAGCAGTGCTTGGAGCCCCAAAACCTGCCTGTCATTGCAAACCTGCTCCGGGTTAACCCCGAGCTCTTGGGCAGGTCTCAGTGATGGCTCAGCAGGACCCCGGCCTGTGCCCAGGGCCCCTCTCATGCCACCGCTCTCCGCAGGAGGCTGACGAAGTCCACGCTGCTCCTCATCCCCCTCTTTGGGGTGCACTACGTGGTGTTCGCGCTCTTTCCCGAGCACATCGCTGTGGATGCTCGGCTCTGCTTCGAGCTGGTCCTCGGCTCCTACCAGGTACAAACTGGGGGCGATCACAGCAGCAGAGATGCACAAAGTGCTTTGGGTTGAAGGGACCTTAAAGCTCACCCAGCTCCAACCCCTGCCACGGGCAGGGACACCTTCCACTGGAGCAGCGTGCTCCAAGCAACCCATCACATGGGGAGGCAGAGACCCCAGGTACCCATCCCAGCCCAAACCAGGAGCCGCTGGGATGTGCTGCTGGGGCTTTTCACTCTTCTGGGAGAGGCCTGTGTCCCGGGCACCCCTCGAACACCAGGGACAAAGCACAAGGGTTGTGGCCCACTGAACAACTTGCTTTAACCCTCTCCTGCCCATGGGATGGGGTGAGAGATGTGGGGGGTGCTAAACGAAGGCAGGAGATGAGCATGAAGGGGTCTAGCTGGGTAAAACTTGCTCTCCCTGTCCTTGCCAGGGGTTCCTGGTGGCTCTGCTCTACTGCTTCCTCAATGGGGAGGTGAGTGTGTCCCCAGCCTGAGTTCCCTGGGTGCCACAGCCACATATGTGGGCACCCAGACCCCCCCCAAGGGTGCACCCCAATGAGCACGGCATGGCATGCATACAACCATGCATGTGTGCACACAGACATGCATGGGGGCCCTTCCCTTCTTGCACTCTGAACCCCCTGTCGAGGCCTGGGTGCAGCTCCTGCCCCTCCATTGGGTGCTGCCTGGTGGCCCTGAGCGCCAGCACTGGCCCCTGGTGTTGGTTCAGGTCCAGGCTGAGATCAAGCGGAACTGGGGCAAGTGGCAGTCATCGATGGAGAGCAACGTCTTCAACCTGGTGACCCAAGACTTCACAGCATGATGAGGATGGCGCTGGTGGAAACACACCCTCGAGGACGGGGGGGGAAGCTCCATGCCTGCTGCCCCATAAACACAATAGGAAGGATTCTGTAGGATCTGGGTCTGGCATCCTTGGAGGGCTGTTGGGATGTTGAGCTCTGCCTGCTCAGGTGCTGGTGGCTCTTGTGGCTCCCTGTGAGTGTCCTCCCTGCCCAAAGCTCTCTTTGCAGTGTGGTCAGTGTTTCAGGCAAAGGGAATAGACCCTCCCCACCTTTTCTGCCCTGGGAATGGGTAGGAAGGACAAGCAGCATTTTACATTCACATCAGTGGCAGTTTCCATTTAGCACTGGAATGAAAACTGGAGCAGCCCCAACCCTGCAGGGATTTACTGCTCGTTACTTTCCCCTCCTTTCTTGGTTTACAGAATCATTTTGAGCTCTCCCAAGGGCTTTGCATTGCAGGGACAGGAGAGTTTGCCAGCAGCAGGACTGCCCCGTCTTCACTGGGGACTTGTTTGCCTGGGACTGGGGAGGCTTTTGCCAATAAAGCCTTGTTCTGAACCCAGCATCCCTTCCCAGAGGATTTCCTGTGCTCACCAGGCCCAGGTAACTGGGGCCCAGGAATTCCAGAGGGTGGAAGCTCTGCTGGTAACTGGAATGTCTGCAGACACCTCCCAGGGAGGGAAGTACCTGTTATCGCTCTGCCTGTTGAAGCAGCAGCCCCTGGGTATGGCCATGGGGAGGAGATGAAGAAGAGCACAAGATGGGTGCGTCACGAGGTGCTGTGGGGCCGTGTCTCCTCTGGGTCAGAGCTGCCGCCACCAGGCCTCATCCTGGCCCTGTTCAAGCCCACGAGCATCCTTCACCCTCCCTGCCTGCGCTGCTGCCGTGACAAGCACTATCCCTAGGCCTCAGATGCCCTTTCCCCAAAAGACCGGAGCCACCCAGTCCCACAGAGCTTCCCACACTTCCTGGGCTGTCATTTCTGCCTGCAGCCCTGTGTCCTGCCTTAAATAAGCCCCCCTTGTCGGCTCCTGCCCAGCTGCAGGATCTCAGCGATCCCATCTTGTTTCACAAAGAGGCACTGAGAGGCAGAGAGAGCCCCAGACGGTCTGGGGTGAGATGGAAGATGTCCCATCAAACAACGCCCGGGCCAGCGCCGCCAGCCAGCAGAGCTCCAGAGGAACATGGGAGCTGTCACATGGATGCCTGCAGACAGGGAGAGACTGCAGGTGAACAAACATCCCTCTTCATCATTAGCAAGGAAGATGCTGTTCAGGCATCAGGTACCGGCCAAGGGGAATGGCTTGAACCTGCCCGAGGGGAGACTGAGATGAGCTCTTAGGCAGAAGCTCTTCCCTGTGAGGGTGCTGAGGCGCTGGCACAGGGTGCCCAGAGAAGCTGTGGCTGCCCCATCCCTGGCAGTGTTCAAGGCCAGATTGGACACAGGGGCTTGGAGCAAGCTGCTCCAGTGGAAGGGGTCCCTGCCCGTGGCAGGGTTGGAGCTGGAGGAGCTTCAGGTCCCTTCCAGCCCACCCCAGGCTGGGCTCTGCTGAACCCCGGCAGAGCAAACCCAGTTTTTTCCAGCACGGTCCCTGCACCCCTTTGCTCACCGGGCCCCGGGTCCCTGCCCGCGGGCCGGGGCTGTTTTGCCGGGGCCCGGCTGGGGGCGTTGTGTCCCCGCGGTGCCCTCGGCCCCGGGGTGTCCGCAGCACCCGGACCCGGACCCGGCGGGACCCTGCGCGGCCCCGGGTGCGGGGTGAGGGGGGACCGCACGGCTGCGGGCAGCGCGCACCCGGCCCCGCTTCCTGCCCGGGGCTCCTCCGGGATCCGCCTCATCAGCGACGGGGCTGGACGGGGCTCAGGGCGTGGAGAGCTCTGCTCCTGTGAGCCCGTTGCTCCTGCCCCTGCCGCAGCCCCTGCTCCGCCGGGGGCTCACCCTGTGCTTGTCCCCACGCTGTCGCCCTGCTCTGCCCCTGCAAACGTCCCTTGCCTCAAGCACCGCCGTTTGCTTCCACCCTGCTCCGTGCCGGCCTCGCTGCCTGCGCCCAGCTCCTGCCTGCGGCAGCCGATGGCACCTGCTGGGCATCCCCTGATTTGCCTGCTCTGACCAAAGGAGCAAGTGGGAAGTGACCACAGACACAGCGGGTCCCTGTCCCTGTCCCTGTCCCTGTCCCTGTCCCTGCCTCCTCAGCAGCCAAAACCACCGGGCACTCCCGGGATGCTTTGTGCCCACGGGAATGGATCCGTGCTTTGGTGCTGAGCTCCCAACAGACTCCCGGTACTCCCTGGCCTGGCTGCAGTGATTACTGTTAGTGAGCTAACACGGGGCTCTCCACTCCCTCCTTCCCTTGGCTTCAGCCTCTCTAAGCCTACCCTGGGCTCCAAGTCAGCAAAAAGAGCCCTGGGGTCTGCTTTTAAGTGAGGGAAGTTCTGCTTCCCAAAGCGTCTCCTGCATGGCACTGGTGCTCTGTCCCGTGCTGCAGAACCTTCCCTCAGGAGCTGAGCCCGCTCTCCTGAGCTGCTTTCCTTACACGGACAGAAAAAGGAAATTATGGGGTGAAAAGCAGACCTCAGCCAAGGAAAGTCGCTCCGCAGCTTCCTGTGTGTCTGGGTCCACAGCCTGGCCCTGTTTCCATTCACTGCATGGGATGCCATGGGCACAGGAGCCCTGGGTGAGGGCCTGGAGGCAGGGAAAGGCAGAGTGTCCTGGGAACGCTCCAGTGAGGGATGTCATGATGGGGAGGGCAGGTCCTGCAGCTCCAGTACAGCCTGCACCAGCGTGGGAAAGTTGTGCAGGGTATTTTGGGAGCGGAGGAGCAGCACAAGGGTTGCACAAAGGCGGCAGCGCTGGAGGGATGAGTCCCCTCCGACCAGGCTGAGTGTTGGGGTGCTTGGTTCACGCCCAAGGCAGCCCCATAGGCCCCAAAAGTAGTGACCCTTGTAAGCTGGGTGCCCACTCTGAGCCTCCAGAACTGCTTGGACATGCAAACAGCACCCAAAGGCCTCACCAGGAAGGGGAAACAGGGAGACAACCACATGGCAAGGTCCAGTTTTGCACCATTCTGTGCTACCCTGGTCCCGGCTCAGTCCCACAGGGATCCCCCTGAGCAGGGGAAGCAGGAAGGGACACGGATGAGCTGTGACCCTGCTGGGTGCTGCCTGTCCTGCCCATCGGATGCTCCTGGGGTGCAAAGAAGCGTGGTGCTGGGGCAAAGGTGGGCAGAAGCCGCGGGTGGGGGGAGCGGGGAGATGAAGCAGGAAGAGCAGGAGCCCCTCACTGCAAGAGGAGCCGCAGCCGGTGCCGGGCGCTGCGCGGTGGGAACTGCACTCCCAAAGAGCCGCGGGCTCAGGGACGCCGCTGGCAGAGGCTGGCACCGGCTCCCCCGCTCGCGGATGTCCCGCTGCTCTTTCCAATTGCGTGTCCCTTCTGGGAGAGAGGGATGGGGAGGTGCTGGCCAGGCCCCTTCCCACCTCCCCTCCACCTCCCCGGCCCCATTTGGTGCCAAAGCCGTCCCGAAGCCACCTCGCCACCGGGGACACGCTCCTCGGGCACCGCAACCGCTGATCCCCGGCTCCGAGCATGGTCCCCGGGGGCGCGGGCACATCCCTGTGCACGCAGGATCCCGGGAATGCCGGGCGATGCGGGCACGGGGGCTGCCGGCGCTGCCAGCACCGTGATTGGCACCGCGGGGGACGAATGTCACTGCTGAGACGCGGCTGAGGCTACCTGAAGGACCCCGCATGTCCTCAGGTTTCAGTCATGACCATCTGACAGCAGCAGCAGCTGCGCTGCCAACAGCCACTCGCGGAGCCAAAGCCTCCAGGAGTCGAAGGAGAGGGAAATTCTGGCCCTAAAAGGTCTCTCCTTGGGATTTTGCTCTCTCCACCCAACAGTAAGTACTGGATTCAGGCCTGGGATGCTGCCAGGCCCCCAGGCAGGGTCTACGGGTCTCGGATGTCCCCGTGTTTGTCACTGTCACTGTGCCCGGAGCGGTCCAAGCAACACGGGGGCTCCACCACCGGAGTGCTGGAGGTGGATGGGAGCCCCCGTGCTCACCGGGGTGGGTTCAGAGCTGTCGGCACCCGCCGGACCCCCGGCATGGAACCAGCCCGGGATGGGGGGAGAAAGCCCCCACAAAGGCACCGTCAGGGCACAGGGACGAGGGTGTCAGAGCCACCGGACCCTCGGTGGTCACGGAGCGGCTGCTGGAGGAGAGGGGACGGTGGGGATGTGACGGCAACCGGTTTGTGAAGCACCTTCCCGCCGGAGGAAGGCAGCTCCAGGCAGGGCTCAGGAGTCGCCTTTCTCCTGCCTTCTCCTCCTGGGATCTAAATATAAACCTCGGCTGGGCCAAGCCAAGGTTGCAGCAAAGGTCTGCGGGTGCTGCTCAGTGTCCCCTTTCGGGAAGGCGCCTGCGCCTGCAGAGCCCCTGCAGGGACCCCGCGGGGAGCAGAGGAGGACGCGGGACCCCCCTGCCCTTCCCGAGCAGCGGTGTCAGGGTGACACCATCGTTTCCCCATTCACACAGCGGGGTTGCACGCAGAGCCGATGGCTGTGGGGTGCTGGGGACACAGGGTGAGCCCCATATGGGGCTCAGGGCTCAGTTCCCCCTAAGGGCAGTGGGGAACAGGCAGTGCCAGGGGGGATTCAGCTCATTTGGGGGCTGTTGGATCCATCCACGTGCCAGCAGCGGGTGCACGGGGATGTGCAAAGCTCCCATCCCTTGCTGCGTGTGTAGGGACAAGGTTTTAGAGTTTATCCAGAGGGAAGCAGCCACCCTCATCCCCCTGGATCTCTTGGTCCCATTCTGCGTCCCTGCTCTCTTGCTTGTTGCAGTTGCAGAGTGAAGTTTGCAGATAAGCACAAGCATTTCCTCCCCTGCCCACACTGCTGCTGCTATAGAAGTGAGGGGTCAGTCTGGGCATGCAGTGATTTAACAGTGGATACCGATGGGGGGGCAACAATTCCATAAATCCCAGGAGACAGCAGCACACCCCAACAGGTCCTGGAGGGGGGATCCTGCACATGTAGCTGATGGTTTGATGGTGCCTCCTCTAGTCCTTGCTAGAAAATAGCCTGATGTTCTAATGGTTCAGGGGGGGAAAAGGGCATATTTACTGGAACTGGAGAACACAGAGTCCTGCCTTGACTCGGGTGTGCTAACATTGAAATAGCATCTTCTATTTTCCACTGCCTGCATAAGGGTCCAGTGAGCATCACTCAGGGCAAAAAGTGCCTGTGGAGCTACTCGGGCAGATCCGTCTCTCGCTGGGAAACTTGCTGGATTTGGGCTAGGAGGGCGAGCAGCAGGTATTGAGACACCAGCATCGTTCCTGTGCTCAGCAGGTTGGATTAACCAGGTCATTCCTACAGAGGGGAGGAAGAGGGGAATCGTGCCGGAGGGTCTGGGGAGTTTTGATGGCAAAGATCTGAGCTCCAGAGACGCCGGGGTGGGTGCTCAGCCTCTGTGCCTGTCTGTCTGTCCAGCTGCCTCCCTCCTTGGCTATTTATACAGCCCTTGGGAACATCTCCCTTTCGAGTCTCCCTTCTCCAGATCCAAG